TACTTTTCTTTATTCACATCTCTCTCCCCCCCATATATATATATATATATATATATATATATATATATATATATATATATATATATATATATGTGTGTGTGTGTGTGTGTACAGAAAATTCGTATAATTTTTTTTCTAAAAAAAAGCACTAAACTAATTGAGATTCTTTTTTCGGGGTTTTCAGATAAAACGTTTTGCCACCTTGACACCTTTTGACGTAAGAATCACTGGAAAACCCTTTGAGTTATTCAGTTAGAAAGAGAGTAGGTTAAAATCATCTTGTGTCAGCCTCACTGTCTTCCCTAATGACCAATGGTGAGAGATAAAGATCATTCATGCCTTCAATAATGGTACCAACATTCATACTATGGCTTCCATCTTCAAATTCAATTCTAGAACCATTAAGTGAACGGTAAATAAAATTAAAAAATAGGAACAGTAGAGAGGTAGTCTGGGACAACTCGTTACTCCAGGAAAGAAAGTTAAAAGGTTAGAGAACTCAATTTCCATCTTTCATGATCAATATATCATATATATATATATATATATATATATATATATATATATATATATATATCAGATCTTATCGTCCGATCGATCGATCGTTCGAATAATTTATGAAGAGAAATTGTACACACACACATATATATATATATATATATATATATATATATATATATATATATATATATATATATATATTTGAATCCTCTCAAATTCACGGATAAATTCCTTAGTATTGTTACAAAACTGACTAGAAAAAATATTTTAGAAAAATATTAATCGACAATAAAGTGGAGTCCACCAGGAAAATATAAACAAAAATTTCATATTCTGAAAGCCGTTTATATAAAAGATTACGGTGAAAAATAAATAAAATCAATTAACAGTATAATAATAAAGTTCTAAAATATTTATACCAACAAAATTTTTAAATATCTATAATGTAATTTTTTATAAAAATACAATTGTAGCAGAATATTTTAAACACGTAATTACAATATTTAATAAAGAGTTTTACAATATAAATTAAGTTACCTCCCTTACAATGCAGTAAATTTTGGAATTAACCGAAGGTGTTTACGCACATCATTCCCGATTGTCAATTAAATTAATTCTTTGTCTGAGCAATTCATCCGTGAAGATGATCTTGAAGGAGATTGAAAATTTTGGGGAAAATAAAAGAAATAACCAAAATTCCGACGTCTTTCTTCATCAGTTTTGTAACAAGAGTAAGACATCGATCTGTGAATTTGAGAGGATACAAATAAAATAAATAGGCATAATATATCTACATGCCTGAGTGAAGATATGCTGCCTTAACACGACCCCCCTCTCTCTCTCTCTCTCACACACACACACACACACATATATATATATATATTTTTTTTTTTATTTATATATATACTCGACTCTCCCATCGAATTCGACGTATAAGGGTCAAGCAGATCAGTTCCCAGAAAGTCGACAACAGCACATGAGATTTGATTACAGTGGTGAAGGTTTCCTGCAGGACCATCCACACATTTTGAAGGGCCGAATACAGAGACATGGTACAACGTATTGCATCTGGAGTGTTTGATTCGAGAGATTATTGGCGACTCCACAAGAGCGTGCTGAAGAACTGCAAATCCTCGATACTGTTGCGGACCCGGGAGCGTGCAGTGCTGGTTTATTACAAAGTGGTCTTGTGCCAGACACCACACTAAACTACCGAGTCCACAAGCAATGTAAAAAAAAATAATAATGCGTGAATGAACAGTGAGAGGAAAGGGGTCAATCAACGAGTGCATAAATTAATAAACATCAAAGAGATAGCCGGAATAAAACATATGTAACTTTTATTAGATGGAAACAAGTAGATTATCTCGTGGTACGAGATTAAGGAAAAGTTCCGCGCCTAAATAGAAAAGCAAGATGAACAAGGCGGGAAAAAGAGTTTTATAAGGTTCTGGAAAAAGGAACTCGTTAAACACGAGGTGTATGTGCGCACAGATAGAAAAGGAGTACTCACTGTGGATTTTTTTTGGTGTTGTAAGTGTGTGTGGTATTTTTGTGTTCAGGTTCATAGTTAGAAAGAATGTTCGGTCGTCTCAGAGTTTTTGGTGAGGCATTGAATTGGCTGCTGGAAATTTTACCGGATTGCTGTGGGCATCTAGCCAGGAGAAACGAAGAATGTTTGAAGCGAGTTTCATGGTCTTGTGGAGTTGTTACGGCGAGCCCAGGGGAGACGAAAATGTTTGTTCGTAAGTAAGAATATCCCTGTCTGTATTTACTGGTTCACTGACGAGGGGTAAGTGTAAGTCACCTGTTGAATACGAAGTTTTGCCCACGACTGTGTCGTCGTGTGTCTCGCACATTTTCTAGCAGAAAACGGAGACGGTCTGACCTGCGGATAGCAAGTTGTTCGTCAGTAGGATATCCCTGTCTGTATTTACGATTGACTGACGAGGGATAAAATAAGCCACTTGTTGAATACGAAGTTTTGCTCACGACTGTGTCATGTGTCTCGAACGTCTTCTGGTCGAAAACGGAGAAGGTCTGACCTGCGGGCAGCTTCAAGACGAGAAGAAGTCTTGGTAAAGTGTGGAGTCGACATTGTTGAGATAAGATATTCCGGCCGGCATATGGGTTAAGGGCACGGAATAAATGAGTTGCCCGTCTAGTTAGGTCGAAAGTCGGGAGGCAACTGGCTTGCAAACACTGGCCGTTTGAGACGCCGCGAAACGCGCGGGAAAAAAATTCAAAATCTGTTAGTCTGACTTCATCAGTAGGAGTTAGCAAAGGTCTTCCTCCAGGTTACTGCTACGTCTAGCTGTGAGAGGAAGGAAGGGGTGCAAACCGCGCGCACACACGCACGAGTGTGAAAGGAAGGGAGGAAACTCGCGCGCGCGTAAAATACAGATGGAATTAATGTGTTAATTCCATAATACCACCTCTATTCAATCAAGTTGAGGTACTGACTTTTTCACCTGATAAGTTTGAATGCTTTGCTCGGAAATTCTCATCGAATTCCACGCTCGACTCATCCGCTGTAACCATACTTGATTTTCTCCCTAGAATTGAGGCTCTTCTAAGTGACATAAACATAACCCCATCGATGGTTTTGGGCATCATCTCCAAATTAGACCCTTGTAAGGCTAGTGGCGGGACGGGATACCAGCCGTTGTCATGAAGAAAAGTGCTCCTGAACTGACACCAGTTCTTTCCAAAGTATATAATTATTGCCTCACTGATTCTTGCTTTCCAGCTTGTTGGAAGTCCTCATCTGTTGTTCCTCTCTTTCAGAAATTTTGCTAATGTTTGTATTATTATTATTATTATTATTATTATTATTATTATTATTAATAATAATAATAATAATAATGCAATAAACTGGCTACATTTTCACTTCTTTAAATAATCCAATAATGTGAAATGTCAGATGATATCAATGGTTCCTAAGATCGTAGCATGAAATAAAATAGTAAATAATCTTGCTTGGCATAACACTATAAAATTATGTTAAGACATTATAATATTTTAATTTATGTCCGCTTATTTATTCGTTTTATATATTCTTTACAGGTAAACACATATTTTTACTAACTTACGGCTGAATCCTTATATATATATATATATATATATATATATATATATATATTATAATAATGGACTCTCCCGTCGGTTACGACGTATGAGGATCTGACTACTTATTGATTCAGTTATGAAAGTTTGTGCGATAATCTTAAGTGGCATTTTAAGACCCACTGAGTGATTTTCAAAGGAGGCCACATATGGAGCAAGTGTGAGGATTGTGAGAGAAGATCACTGTTAGATTATATATATATATATATATATATATATATATATATATATATATATATATATATATATATATATATATATAAAATTTAAAGAATCGTATTCGAGAATACCCGTCTACTAGGTCGGCTAGCCAATTCCTCTTGTAGACTCTCGTGTTTGTTCAACACCCGCAGAGCCAAACTGAGGTTTATACTGCAACTATACTGAGCAGATTTTATTTACAGCATTAGAGCGTGTTATCTAGTATGATCAACAATCTGAATAACCCCAGCACACTCAATCCCTCGGCCACGATGAATTGTGACTTTGTGCTAGCACAGCTATGTTCCGTCTACACAGTTTCATTCACAATCCGTGGTATGGTTTTCAGGAAGTTTCCCCCTCCAGACTGATAACAGCAGGAAGTCTCCTTCCTGACAAATCGACTATGGTGTGATTCGAACCCGGGTCATACGGTCAGAACGGACGTTCTAACCACTCGTACAATATATATATGAAATATATAGAAGCTTTGGTATATTTTAGCAGTTGTGTTGGGCTCTTTGTAACTATTTTTTTATTATCTGTTTTCATTTAATACATTTATCTCTTCCTGAAATCAACCTAATAGCTGTCACTACGAGAAATATGACAGAAAATCTTATATTCTTCCTTCGTTTTTCGTATTTACACAGCCCCTAGGATTGGCGAAGTGAAGACAGATTCTATGTTTCCTCGAATATCAAATATCTCCAATTCTTGAAGCGTTTTCATTTTTTTTTTTTCTGGCACGCTTCCAAACACACAAAATATTGTGGGCGTATCTCTGAACAAAATGTTCCAAATCTTTCTCAGTTCCCAGGAGGGATCCTATTTTTTCTTTGTTTGCTTTTTCTTTTTGTTTTCTTTCCCATCCAGTCTTGTCATCTGAGATATACAAAGTATGCGTTTTCGTTATAATTCTTTTTCTTGTTCCAAACTTCAAAACCGAGTTTTCTTTTTGTGTGTGCATGAATTATTATTATTATTATTATTATTATTCCTGTCTATTTGCTGGTCTTAATCTCTTTTTCGCGTTAACCTCTCTGCCATCAGTCGGACATTCTATCCACCGGCTTCTTGTCGGGTCTTCGCCTTTCCCAGTGAGCTACAAACAGCCGGGGCCTGTCAGATGAACAGACAGCACTTGCAAAACACGTTACCCGAATATAATCATGTCTGACAGCGACGATGTAGGAGAGGTTATTCCATACACGGTTGAACTTTTATATCGAAAAAGGAAGTTACAGCCAAACATGCGCGAAACGCTGGGTACTCACCCGTCTCAACAGACGTTTCTTATCATCGAGATACCCCCAAGGTTATCGCCTTTATTTCCTCTATCAACTCTGACCTTTCTATCGCAACTAAGGATAAAGAAAGCTTTCAACGTAGAAAAAAAATGCGCGTGATTTGAAAAGATGTACACTGATTCCGATATAGCGCGGCTATTCTGATCCAATGTTTTAAACAATATTTTGCAAGGATTTTATGTTTCAAGTCAGAATTGCGGTGGTTGTTGAATGGCAAACAGAACGAAGATTCTGGTCAAACCTAAGTGAAACTAGTGGATTGTTTATTTAATCATCAAAGTTAAGCAATATCTAAAGTGATGCGTAAATTAATGGGTGACCGCTTAAAGAAGTCTTTACGTGAATACTTAACTAAGAAGAATTTTGATTTTACTGTAAAATTAAATTAATTGCTTCTTCTTTGTTTGATACACGTGACCTTTATTATAGTTTGAAATATTTTTAAATATAATTTTTCCGTGTATTTACTGTTGCTTTCATTTTTTTTTTATAATAGCCGAGACAAATGGCAGAAAATTAGCCAAAGACGTCCAAGTGAAAGTCGGTGACACGGTGACTCTTAGCTGCGACCCTCCAGATTCAGGTTTGTTTTTTTTTTGTTGTTGTTTTTTCACTTTTTTATTATTTATTCTCTACTTATATACACTACAGTTGGAAAGTTTGCGGCCACTCTCAGAATTAGCATGAGATAAACTTGAAAGAATATTGAAAAAAAAAATGAAAAAAGATCTTAATGTCATTGGAAAAAGAATTGAATGAATTATCACACTTATATTGTGAGAATATTTCTCGAATGAGAAAAAGTTGTGCTGCAGTAAGCAAGGCTAAAGAAGGTTATTAAAATATTTAAAAGCAAAATTTAATTTAATCTTAAAATGCTTTTTTATTTTTTTTTATCATGAAAAAATTTCTAATAAAAAATCATTTCTCACTATTTTTTTTAACCATGTGCAATAATTTTCTGTTATTTAAGGTGCAAAACAACTATATTTTGGCCTAATTTAAAAAAATACCAGGTGTGGTTTCAAATTTTTGAACTGTAGTGCCCATGTGGGTATTCATAATACTAAATATGATACAAATAACAGATCGATTCCTTCCGTAATGATTGACTTCATTCCTGTCAGCACATTTCGATAGACGCATGATGAGCAACGTATTTCTAATTTGCAGATAATAATTTCTCCGTGTGAATGTGCAGTGTAACAGCTATCAGTGTGAAAAGTAAAATTGGTGACCTCAGATCAAATACACGTTGAGTTTAATACGTTCATTTTCGAACTAATACTCTTTGGAAAGGCATGAACTCATCTCTTCCCTATAATAGTTTAAACATTAAGGTAGACGCGACTCATAAAGTAAACCATAAAGAAATTTATTTTTTATTCAAGTAAATTGACATATAAAAATAATTCAATAAAACGCAGTTGTTTTTAATTATTTTTTAATAAAGTAAATTGAAAAATACAATCAAAAATTTAACCGTAAAATCTATGATAATGCTCAAAAACATTAAATGTAACGTCAATCTTCATTTTATATCTTCTGGAATCCAGTACTTTTATGCTTCTCTATATTTGTGTAACCTCCTCCGTCTTAGTTGCTTTATCGCCTTGCTTAGATGAAATGATTACGTTTTAAATTCGCGAAGCCTTCTTTCCTTATTATTCATCCCGGAAATTCTGATGGCAAATATAAATTTCCTTCTTGTTCCTATCTTAAAGTTTCATCACTGGTTACATGTTCAGTTTGTGGTATTCACAACATTCTTCGGTTGAGTCACATCTCTAATTCATCTGTGAGAAATTGGCATAGAATCCATTGCCACTTAGGAAGACTAATATTACATCATTAATTTCTTTGGGCAGTATTGTTTAGAAAATGAGATATGTATCTGTCTATATTTCTGAGATGAGGTATTATGTACACTATTTACATTATTTGGACTATTGTCCTCATCTTTGTCGCCATATCTATTACAAAGTTTCGGCCGTTGTATGCTCCGGCCTTCTTCAGGTGGTTAGAATGTCGAACTTTATTTCGCTCACTGGGGTAGACAGATGTCAGTCCTGTTAATTTCCCTCTGAATGTTCTCCACTGCCGTATTGAACACACACACTTTAGGTCCTGTCACTGGATCTAACCAACGTCTTTATCCACTGTGCCATGTGTCCTTGAGGATATCTGTGTATGAATTTCTGGGTATTATAACCCTAATGTTTTCAGCAACCATTTTTACCAGTGCTAATATTTCAGAGGGAAATTAACAGGAGATAACTGATAATTGACATCCATTAAACATGGCACGTGGAACTAGAACAGTCTACTCCACTAAGTGAACAAAAGGGTTCAGTTCGCCATTCCAACCACCTGAAGAAGGCCGGAGCGTACAACGTTGTAATAAATATGGTGACAAAGATGAGGACAATAGTCAGAATAATGTAAATAATAAGATATATGTTTATTGAAAACTTCAGAGAGACGAAGTCACGGGAAAGATATTCGACTCCATTTTATATGGGGTCTACAGCGAATTTTTGGCCGAGCCTACGGGCTTGGATACCCCACATTAAATTCGGCCTTGGGCCACATCTGACCGCGTGGTGCGGTTGGTAGACATCCTGCAGTTTGAGATTCGTCTACAGCTGTGCTGATCGGACTCTCTGTCTCCGGGCAGAACGGATTCACAGACGACGCTATGTTGAAGGACAGAGTCTCGTCTCGGGAAACAGCTACCCGATCCCGTTTTATACGAAGTCTAAGAGGAATTTTTGGCCGAGCCTACAGCTTCGGATACCTAAATTAAATTTGGTTTGTAACACATCTGACCGCGTGGGACGGTTGGTAGACATCCTGCAGTTAAAGATTTATTGTGGAATTCACTTGACTCACTTCTAGCATTTAACTACTACTTTTACGCGCCGCTGACGAATCTTATATGCGTTTTTCTTGTCCTACGTATTATCGTTTATTACCAACCTTCGAGTGATTATTCTATTCAGTAACCTTCCCTAAGTTACAACATAAATTAACCTTATATGAAACAATAAATATTTTCTTCATATCACCCCAGTAAAACCACTAAGACACAAATGGGTAATGAGAATGAAGGAAAAAAATATTATTAAGGAGCGAGAACAATATAGTAATAATCAAGAAGTAGATAACGATTGAATTTACATTGAATTTTTGGAAGATCAAAGTTGGCTGCCAAACATTGGAGCCGGGAGAGAAGAGCGGGAAATACGGGAAAAGACAAACTGCTCATATACATTTGCATCTAGCCACTTCAAATGTGAATTGATTATAGAGAGCCGCCATTTAACTAATGCGCTTAGTCATAAAATGTAGGCACAATTGCGAAGGATTAATCATAAGAAATACGATGAAAGTATATATAGAAAAAGGATGCTACATTACAGTGGTGGAAAAGTGACTGAAGCCGAGCAGCCAGATCAGGACCAGTAATATTGCCGATTCTTCTATGGATTTTATCAATAATCTCTAAATATACAGTAGGAGCACGGAACTATATGTGGCAGAAATATTCAAAGCAAGAAAGAATTATATACTTATAAATATATAAAATAGGAATGAGAAATTTCGAGCACGACACAGTAAACCAAATTTCTTAGCTGCCGACCTAGCAATGAATTCAATATAATCTTTCCATCTCATGTCAGCCGAGAATGTTAGTGCAAGATGTTAGACTGAGAGCGACACACATAGAGGTTAATATTAGCTGTGCTGATGAGAAGCAGAAAAGGTCTCTCAGAAGTTTAGTAGCAAGCAGTTTCGTTTTGAAAGAAAGAATGAATCAGTTCAAAATCTCGTCCGAAAAGATCGGTCTGCCAAAGTATGTCAAACGCTTTAGCGATGTCTAAAACAACAGCCCGAATTTCACCAGTCATATCTAAAGCTTGATAGACTCTTACAGTATATAATTCTTAGTACATTAGCAGTTGACCTAGAGAAGCCATGTCTGAAAGAAGGCCCGACTATGTGAGATGCTTAACCAATTTAGAAGCGATTAGGGACTCTAGTAGTTAGAGGTAGAAAGCTAATATGCCGATAATACGAAGAGACAGTCGGTTCACTTGAATTCTTAAGGACAGGAACAACAGATGAAGATTTCCAACAAGTAGAAAAGTAAAAGTCAATGAGGCATTTATTGTACAGTTTAGAGAGAACATGAGCTAGTTCGGGAGCACACTTCTTATGGACTATTAAAATCAATCACGCTTTCTGGGGATCCACATTAGAGATGATACCACAAATCATGGAAGAAGATATTCACATATCACTCAACAGAGACTAATTTCTTAGAAAGTCAAACAAGGATGAGTCAAACTGGAGTCGATCTTTTAACCACAATAACGTATGCAGGACGGAAACTTTTTCATATTTCTTTTTAGATTTTATGTTGAATTTAATAAGACATAATGGCAATGCAGTATGAATTTAAGCTCATTTTTCCTTTTAATATAGGGATAATCAAAATTAACAATGATGATCACTATGTAAAAGGCCTGAGAACCACTCGAATTAGATGATTACAGATTAAGACGGAAAATGTATGAGGATATGTGGAGAACAAAGCGGTTAACCCTGCACTTGAACTGATTAAGATTATAGTGATCGGTGAAGCACCCTCTTGGGAGCCGTTTCTACAAAGCTATTCTTCATTTTCAATAAACTCACTCACCCTCTCTCTCTCTCTCTCTCTCTCTCACTCTCACTCTCTCTCACTCTCTTTCTCTCTCTCTCACTCTCTTTCTCTCTCTCTCTCTCACTCTCTCTCTCTCACTCTCTCTCTCTCACTCACTCTCTCTCTCTCACACTCTCTCTCACTCTTTCTCTCTCTCATTCCCTCTCTCTCTCTCACTCTTTCTCTCTCTCTCACTCTCACTCTCTCTCTCTCTCTCTCTCTCTCTCTCTCTCTCTCTCTCTTCACACACACATTCTCTGCCAGATTGGAAATGTGTGTGGTGTAATGGAGGAGAACGGCTCGGAGGGAAAAGATAGCCGATTTCAAATTACAATCGGAGTCATTACATTGACTTACGCGCAAATACATTTAGAACAAATATGAATCCATCTCCTAACTATGGGTTTTTCTGAAAAAATATTGTTATTTACTCTAGAAATAAAAGAATTACACTTGCAGTCTAAGATGTGTTTCGGCTTTCCTTGATCCACCAAGTGTTGATCAGCCTTAAAAAAAACAACCAATCAACAAATCTGTTGTCCTCAATGACACATGGTCCAGTGGATAAATTCGTTGGTTAGATCAAGCGACTAGTCCCAAAAGAGTTGTGAGTTCAATACCACGCCACAGCAGTTGGGAACAAAAACTAGGAGAGCTGAGTTAAAGGGAAATAACTGAGACATCCGGAAGAGGCGTGACAGGTGGAACTAGAACAATCTACTCCGATGGGCTAAATAAAGGGTTCGGTTCGAAATTCCAATCACCTGAAGAAGGCCGAAACGTTGTGAATATGGCAATGAAGATGAGGATAATAATCCGAATAATGTATATAATGCAAGTTAATCTGTAGGATCAGTTAGTATTGAATAGACATATATATATATATATATATATATATATATATATATATATATATTCTTTCGATTCTTTCGAAATTATTCACCAACCTTGAGACAAAATTAACTACAATTAGAACTATAATTGAAATAATTCGATTTAATTTTGAGCTTGTCACACGACGAATAAGATGGCTAGAATTTGTTAAAACTACAAATATATTTGTTTCTTTTTAATGAAGTCAGTGGATCGAAGGGACTGAATTCTAATTTATATATAACGTTAGCGAAAAATACGCACAGTATTTCAACTGTGCTATTTCAAAAGCTACTTGGCGGTTGCTGTTCATAGCTCAAGAATATTTATATTATATTTATATCTTTATCTTTACAAATCAATGGAAATTCACAAATCTATGGCATGCACCTTTTGTCAACTTTACTGTCAGCAGAGGGATTAAACGTACACTTCTACAATTTTTATTTCCTTTTCAATTTTCGTAAATATATCTGGAAGACACGTACGGATGCCTATACATATCACTTAATAAGGAAAGATCGCTTAGAGAATTTAACATACACACGGGACATAATGAAAACAAGAGAAGCAAAGAATAAAAGCGAGTAAAATATTTAATAAGTTTGTGTAAGTAGTTGTATTCCTGGATTGCTTCCAGTTCTTCATCCGCTATTGTTATGATCTTTTGCGGAATGACAATATTGAACAATACTGTATTTTTGTCGATTCTTACACTGACATCAATACTATCGCTAATTAGTTCAATTAGTATTTCAAATAATTAATCCGATGATTCTAATATTACTGTCAACAAATCGTAGATGCTTCAAATATTATTATTATATATTATATTTACTACCATTAAATCCCTGTTTCCTTGAAGGTTACTCAGATCATGGGCTAAATGAATAAGGTAAATACAACATACGAATCACTCCTATTCTAATCACTTTTTTTTTACCTGTGTCCGTCTTGGCGGGAAAAATTGCTAATAGTAAATTTTAGGGAATTTAAGATAATGCTATTATGGTGATTTAAACTGCTGCATATTTTGACAAATGAAATGACTGCTCATAGTAAAAGTCTAAATAACATTCAGCTGGTCTTCTACTTTATATAGGTGTGGAGTGTGGGGAATATCTAATTGCCAGGAAAATTAAGCCGGGAAATAAAAGAAACAAAAAACGAAAAGATCTTGATAGAAACAAAGATTATTTTTTACTGACAGAAGAAAACTTCAAGACACGTATGAACATTTCCGGCCCAATATAGGAACTTCTACATGAATAAACGGGCTAATAGCGGGATTAACTTAGCGCGTACACGCACACCATAAACACATATGCACTCACGTACACACTCACACAGGTACACACACGCACACACATATCTCTCTCTATCTATCTATCTATCTATCTATCTATCTATCTATCTATCTATCTATCTCTCTCTCTCTCTCTCTATATATATATATATATATATATATATATATACATCACGACATATGTTTGTATACATTATATCTGTATAAAATTAAAATATAATTCATTACGCACACACACACACACACACAAATGTGTCTGTGTATGTCTGTATTTTAATATGTTCTGATTTTATGTGAATAAAAGAGATAATTCTACTCAAATTTTAGAATAGATAGATAGATAGATAGATAGATAGATAGATAGATAGATATGAACAGACTGAGATAGATAGATAGATAGATAGATAGATAGATAGATAGATAGATAGATACGAACCGGAGGAGATAGATAGATAGATAGATAGATAGATAGATAGATAGATAGATAGATAGATAGATATGAACAGACTGAGATAGATAGATAGATAGATAGATAGATAGATAGATAGATAGATAGATAGATAGATAGATAGATAGATAGATATGAACAGACTGAGATAGATAGATAGATAGATAGATAGATAGATAGATAGATAGATAGATATGAACAGACTGAGATAGACAGACAGAGAGATATGAAGAGAATGAGAGAGAGATAGATGGATAGAAAGCATATTAAGCGATGTTCAGATAATGTTCACACATTCTGGAGAAATATAGTTTTATGCTATATTTATGGGATAAAGTGCTCAATATCAGAGTCAACAGTCAGAGGCGGCATGTTGTTTCATGCTAGAATCAATGGTCAGGACGCCTAACGACTGCGTCTAGCATGAAACATTCCGTCGATTCTGAGTGTTGACTTCAATGTTCACTTTAAATTTATATATATATATATATATATATATATATATATATATATATATATATATATATTATATATAATATATATATATATTTATATATTTATATATATATATATATATATATATATATATATATATTATGAAATGGACAAGTCACAATTATTTTAAGACATTATTATGTTTATACATTTTTGTAGATACAAATATTTAAGTAAATGCTCTGTTTTTTAACGGCCTGAATGTCTGAGAAGTTTTCACAAAAATATTCGTCCTCCTACAGGAATCGAACCTGTACCGTCATATATATATATATATAGAGAGAGAGAGAGAGGGGAGGAGGGAGGGAGGGGAGATTGATTTACCTGCTGACAGACAGGAAAGCATAGTGTCGACATACGACTAATATTTTATGTCGATTTGCACGTTACTTTGCGATCGCCAGACTGATAACAACATAGAAAAATCATTACTTCAGAAATTATCTTCAGTGGTTACCCTTGTTTAAAATAGATGCCATATTTTCCACATTTTGATAGAGTATATATTACGTCTATCGCTCCGCCCATTCGATACATATTTATAAATTAATTATACTCACCATTTGTGGGAGAAACCGCCGTTTGGGCCGGTGTACTTTAGACCCCGCTCGGGCGCAGAGGGCGACAGAGTTCTACAAGCTTCTACTTACCCTTTTCTCGAAAGCCTATATCTGTTCAGTTCCGTATCCAAAACGAATTCAGGGAATTTATTTTTAATCCGATATTTTATCATTACTTTGTATAATTAACTATTAATAAATAATCGGGCATTTTAAAGATTGAACATTATTATAAAAAAATATTATTACAAGCACATATATAGCAGTTTAGGAGGCTTTTCTTAGTCTGACACAACGATAACTTTCAGGCGAGACTAGTAGAGATCAGAGTTACAACAATGAAAAGAGCAGCTGCAACACGATTGTTTGTATCTGTTTGGACAAATCCTTCTTAATATAATTTCTGTTTGGTGTTCGATTCGTTTAAGCTGATTTTATCATTAATTTTTTAGCTCTCTTTTGGTTTCTTTCATATCTTCTCCTTTTGTTTACGTTAGATCCAGCCAACGGGCGAACGAAACAAATCCTAACATAAGCCTGATACAAAAGTATTATTTTATGACGCCAAAGACAGCTTGTGGCTCCAGCTAAAGCTTCTCTAGTTGCCATTGGACGCTTTTCAGAGGAAACTGAGATTTTTATTTGTTGGATGATGAAAGAAGTTGTCTCCCCTAGCACAATAGTTGTTTTCTCTGAGTTTTCCGTTGAATTCATTATTTTATTTTAGTTCGTATATTTTTCAATCATTCAATTTACCATCGCTTATAAATCTTCCTCTCACCCCATCCTCGCCCTACACACACACAAACACACAAGCGTGCACACACACACACACACACACACACACACACACACACACACACACATATATATATATATATACACTATCCCTCACCAGTAGTTTTCATGCACAAGGCAATCTGCTGGAGCTGATTATAGAGTGACACACACAAACACACACATACATATATATATATATATATATATATATATATATATATATATATATATATATATATATATATATATATATATATAATTATATACGGAATGAATTCCAATAACCAACAATTACAATTCTTAAAAAGAGTGCTCAATACAAAGTAGAGCAGATATAATTATTATTTATAAAAAAATTATAACATAAATATGTTATAACATCACTAAAATTAGCCATTTTGTTTCAACACCCTCAATAAGACAATGGCTAATTTTAGAGTGAGATCTTATAAATATATTTATGTTATAATTTTTTATAAATATATATATATATATATATATATATGCACACAAATATATATATATATATATATATATATATATATATATATATATATATATATATATATACTATCCCTCACCGATAGCACGACTTTTCATGCACAACGCAATCTGCTGGAGCTGATTACAGAGTGACTGTTACTTAATTTAATTTTAAATAAAATAACTGATTATTGCAATATTGGTGCAGTTATATATTATTCTAGGTTTATAGTTTTGAAAATATTTTTTGTCATTTAAAATACACTGTATATATATATATATATATATATATATATATATATATATATATATATAAAAGGAAATATGTTGTAGTGGTTCCA